TGTAAAGCGCTTTGAGAGGAGTGTCCAGAAAAGCGCTGTATAAGTGTAAGCAATTATTATTATTATTAATTTTTATTATTATTATTATTTGGCTTGTACACTGTGTGTGCTGTGCAGTAGAATACCTGTGTGTATCCTGCGATGTGCCTTCAGGTGGGAGCTCTTAGTGTACACCTTGTTACAGCCATCATAGTCACATCTGTGGACACGCCTCCTCTTCATATCCGGCGAATCAGGGGACTGTGTTTGTGAGTGAGGGGCAGAGCTAAGACGAGAAAAAAAACAGCTGTTAACAACTGGACAGGCAGCACCAATCAAACACCAGAACATGGCCAGACATTTCTAGTTAAACATCCGCCCTGTCAACTAACAGCTGTCCATCTCGGCACTGGAACTTCAACTCTTTTTACAGAACCAGTCTGAGGTCCAGTACGTGTCCTTAACAGCCCAAAGCATCACGTTCAGGTAGATTTGGGAGACACCTTACCACGAGTCACTGTTTTTCACTCTCTGGGAGTGCACAGAGCCTCCACATAGCCAATTAAAGTGTAAAAACAATTGTGCAAATCTCTGAATTTGTCAATATCACAAACCAACAGATTAAATCCCAAGATCAGCCACGAATCTGCTGCTGAAAAAGGCAGATCATATTAACGAGAGCAGGCATTCAGTTTCTGAAGGGGCTCGTCTTCTACACACTGCCCTGTACGTTCACACTGACTTGCTCTTTCCCTTCTCCAATTTCAGCATCAGGGTGCAGTACTATAAAGCAGCCACCAGAGGGAGCCAGCCGCCCTGTCTGAGCCCGTCCTTGCTTTCTCATTTCCAGCCCATGGTTGCCTCACTCTCTTACTCCTCCCCTCCCTCTTTCTCTCTCCTCCTCCCTTCCTTCCTCCATTGCCTCACTCCCTCTTTTCCTCCCTTCCTAAATGCCTCTCTTCTACCCTGTCTGCCAGCGCGTTCGCTCCCCTCTCTCCTCTCTCTCCATTGCACACTCGTCCCATTCCCCAGCCACGTCTCCGGAGCGCGCTATGGCAACAGGGTGAGAAAGCTGCACTCCGCCATCCCTCCCTCCCTCCCTCCCGCTGTGTGGAAGGGGTGTGGGAGAGCAGGCAGACGGTTATATAAGCTTGTTTACACCCAGCTCCGACACAGCCCTGCCCAGCAACTAACGCACAAACACACACAGACACACTGGGTAGACATCATTCCAGAGAAGCTCCCCACACCCCCGAGTCACACAGAACATGACTCCTGAAGAGCTCTTCAGAAAATTGCTACGCACTCTTAGAATGTATCTATATACACTTCCATTGTATGTATATACACTTACAGCACACCCATACACACTTAGATCTGTGGACACTTACAGCACACCCGTACACACTTAGATCTGTGTACACTTACAGCACACCCGTA